CCAAGCTTGGCATAGACTCAGCAAAGGAGCAAATTGAGAATCTGCCTCAATATTGCAACCGTCGAGTACAGAACTTCGTTGAGAGTCTACCATCATACCGTGCCGCGGTAGCGAACTGGGATACTTTCAAGGCTGATGTTCTCAAGTACTTTGATGCTGACCGAGATGATCGAAGGTACAAGGTGAAGCACCTTGAAGCGTATGTATTGAAAGCCAGGAAGAAGTCAATGATCAAGAGTCTAGGAACATGGCGAGAGTACACAAGGGACTTCCTAACTATCTCAGGATGGTTAAAGAACAAGGGTCGCATTTCATCTGATGATGAGGCTCTCTATTTCTGGAAAGGAATCCCTCGTGCTTTCCGCCAAGTTCTAGAGCCACGACTGTTGGCATCCCAGCCAACCTATGACTTATCAAAGCCATTCAGTATGAGCGACGTGAACCAGAAGGCCGAAGCATTGCTCCAGCGCAACCGCTTCGACAGTGATAGGCTCCCGTCAGATGACGAAGATGATTCTAACTCAGATTCTGATTCAGATGACAGTGATACTGACAGTTCCAGCAACTCAGATAGTGACACTGAAGAGGAATCCAAGAAGAAGACTACTTCTAAGAAGAAGCGTAAGCTTACTAAGAAGAAGCCTGCACATAAGGATCCTGACACAGATGAAGAGGATTCTACCGACCGCAAGAAGGTACAAGCCGCACAGCGAAAGGCAGCTCGAGAAGATGCAAAGAAGAATGGTGAAGTGGAGGATCTCATCCGTCAGATGAATCGAATGTCAATCAATGACCCAGAATACAAGATATTGTATTTTCGGGCTTGCACAATGAGCCCATTGGTTGCATCGATCCTCACACCGCCTGGACGACCTAGCATGAGTATGGCCAGCCAATCTATTGCTGGCACAGCTGGTAACGATAATAAGCCAAGTATGCCGCAAGGTGTTACTAGGCCACCGATGAAGTGTTACGGATGTGGTGGAAGCGGACATGGTATCGGAACTTGCCCAGAGATTAACACTCTCATTGCCCAAGGTGCTATTGCACGAGATGGGTCCGGGCGGCTCGTCATGAAAGACGGGTCGCGCATTTTCCGAAACATGGACGAACCATTCACCATAGCTATCCGGCGACAATCGACTCCGAGCTCTCACTTCATTATGACCGAGCCGAAGCAGTCATACTGCTCGCATGCTATATCGAAGAGTATGATTCGGAGGACGAGCCGGTACAGGTACGGAACATTCAGACGGATGAAGGAGAGGATGGTTTCGCATTCGGAGCCGAGCGTACAGCTAAATCTACACGCGACGCACGTGAACGTGTAACTAGGAATCCTATCGTGCCACCAGTCACTGTACAGGAGAAGATTGGTAAGACTAAGCCAGCTAGTAGTGGACCAGACAAACGTGACGTACCTCCACATCTACCATCCGCATCACAGCCCGCGCCCGACGCAACGCGAACTTCCGCCCGACTACGCGGCGAGCAAGCTCCTCCGATCCCAGTGCATCGGGGGGACAGAGTCATGCAGCCGACGCAGCCGACTCAGCACGATCGCGTGGGTAGCGAGCCCCCACTCGCATGGAAGACCGCGAGGCCCATAGACGTAGCGGCCCGGCAGTTCGATGCAAGTGATGATGACGCTATCATGGAAGACGCACCATCAGCACGATCGCCGGAGAAAGAGAACGAATCCACTGCACGTACCGAAAAGGAGAAGACAACTAAGCATGAACCTGTGAAGCGCATCCCGCGCCAGAATCAGGTACAAGCTCAGGTCGACCCCTGGCAGGTTCTGGCCAAGGTGTTGAACACTCCGGTGACCTTGCCAGTCGGTGAGATATTTGGGGTCTCGAAGGACCTGACTCACAATCTTCAGGAGGTCTTGAAGCCCAAGCCGGCCGCGAAGAACGTTGTAGCGGCAGCGTTTGTCCCCTGATCGAAAGGCGCGTTAATTTATCTGCGACTAGAAGTGGATGAACGCCCCGTGACGGCGATCATCGACACCGGATCTCAGCTAAACATCGCCAGTCGAACGCTCTGGAAGACTCACCTTAATCGCCCAATGGACGTCACCCGATCGTGTCAGATGAATGACGCGAACGGAGGGGCGGGAGCCCTGCGTGGACTGGTCGAGAATGTCGTCTTGAAGTGCGGTCGCGTCCCGACGTACGCGAACCTATACATCGGCGACAAGGTGCCGTTTGACTTGCTGCTCGGACGACCCTGGCAGCGCGGTAACTACGTGAGCATTGACGAACGCGAAGACGGAACATACCTGTTGTTTAAGAACAACCAAATGGAAGTTCAGCACGAGATCCTCGTAATGCCCGATGGCATTAATCCCGGATGGTCGTATGAGCCCGCGGTATGGCTCGGAAAGGATGGGAAGGTGCCAGCCGGCCCGACGGACGCGGAACCGTCCACCGTGCTTGCTTGTGGCAGCCCCGCCGCGCTGACCTCCTATGCCGAGCAGTGGCAAGCCTCGCGTGAGTCAGAAAAAGGAGACGTACTATACGACGACTTACCTGATCAATTGAACGCACCCGCGAGCCCTGACGAAGACACTAAGGTTGGGTGGTTCGATCCCAACCTCCTGACGCGACAACTGTATGGCCTCGTGCGGTCCGCACGCGAGCAAGCGACCCTCGAGCCTAAGGAGCAAATGACTCACCGGTGCGGAGCGCACAGCTTCGCGGACTGCCCCGCAAAGCTCTCCGAAGCCAAGCGCAGTTCAATAAGTCAGCTCGACAGAAGATGGGACGACTTACATGATGCCAATACCCCAGAACGAACTTCCGCCAATCCCATCGCTCCCGACATTCGCGCAGCGGTCCACTTGACATTAGCAAGTCGGATTCGCAATCTCGATGGCCACAAAGAAGGCCGCCTAGCTCAATCCGGTATGGGCAGTGGAGAGATGGACGCCGAGGTTAATGAGCAGCTAGGAAGAGGAGGCGGCTTGATATTGAGGGACCAGGGACTGATAACGTGTCCCCTATGCCGAGGAACACGCCTGCGAACGTTGACGAAGAGGCGCAAGATGAGCGCGCAAGCCGTATCCAGCAAGCAGAATTCAGAGCAAAGCGAGAAGAGATGAAGGAGGACGAGTTTGAGAGCGAAGACGACCGCGCGAGAGAGAAGTCGCCAGCAGACGCCGGCACCGAGACAGCGGTGCAAGTCGATCGAGGAACGGACGTATCGGAGAAGATCTGGCTGGGCCCAGGAGATCGCAGATTCGATCTGCAGGCGCCCGTGGCTGTGGCGCGACGCGCGCTGGCTCTCTCTCTCCCTGCGACCTCTACCAGTACCCTCGATTCTCGACATGACTCCGCGCTCACGACCTCAAATCGTTACGGGACCATGGGACGACATCGGTTAGGAGTTAGGGGAGGGATAAACGGCTTAGGTGAGCACCTCCCGCTTTGGTATTTAGCTCGCGCGAGCGAGCACCTTCGTCCACAACCCAAGTCCATCCCCCGTCCTCCACGCCCGTCATGGCTTATCCACGCGGCCCGTCCGGTGTCTCTCTCCCTCCCATCGACCAGATCTTTGAGATCGACCGTCTCCCCGAGTTCGCGCACCAGGACCAGGTCCTCAACGTGGTCCCCTTCAGCCAGGTTGTCCCCGTTCCGCCGGGCCTGCCACGCGGGTACATCCCGCCGCAGGACCTGTTCCACAGCATGGACCGCGACCGGTTCAGCTCGGACGTCGTACGCCCCCATCCCTCCTCCGTCATCTCGACCAAGAACGCGCAGGTGCGCGGAGAGCTCGTCGACACGAACGGAAACGAGGTCACGATCGTAACGCTGGACGACGCGGCCATTACCTACCAGCAGCCAGGCGAGAGCGGAACCAACGCAGCCGGTGTACGCGTCGCCGCCTTCATCTCGAAGAACCCTAACGAGCCCAAGCAGGTCGTCACCCCGGGCATCCGCAAGGCCGACTATCCCTTCCATCGCCAGGCGCAGGAGATGCGCGCCCGTCTGCTCGATCCACGCGCACACCTCGCGCCTACCCTGCACTCTAGCACGAACCCGTCGCACATCTACCCGCCCGGACATCCGATGCACGCAGCCCATGGTTTCCCTGTAAGTGACGACCCCTTCGCCAACTTCAAGCTACACTTACACGAGCTTGCGAAGGACCCGCCGCCGCCTCTTCCGCGTGCGCGTTCGCGCCGCGGCGGCGTGCCTCCTGCGCTCGCGCCGCGCAAGCCGTCGGGCTCGCGCACTCCGCGTAACCAGCCGCAGGCCCCGGCCTTCGTCCCACGTCCCCAGGCTCCGGCCTTCGTCCCGCGCCCCCATCCCAACTCGTATGCGCAGGCCGTGCAGCCTCCGCGCGCGACCACCTCTACTACGGCTATGGCCCCCGCCCCCGGAGCGCCTCCCATCGACCCCTATCACCTCTACGCCGGACGCACGCCCTTCCGCCTCCCTCTTCCGGACTCGGACCCGGCCCCTCGCCCAGTTCGACTCGGCTCACCGCTGTTCGCGAAGGCCGTCAACGACCTGCGCCCGAACCCATTCATGGACGAGGGTACCGTCTTGAAGACCACGTCCACGGCCCCTTCCTCGCTGCCTCCGCCTACGCCTTCGCCGGTCCCCTCGATTGCCAGCCGCCGTCCTCCTGCGCCCGCTAACTCACCGCAGTTGCAGTACCCCGGCGACGAGGTAGTGCCACGCGCTGGGTCCGCCGCACTCTCCTCGCATCCGTCCATGCCGGATCTCGAGACCGTGCCGCCGTCAAGTGACGAGGAAGACATGGTACTCGTATCGGACTCCGAAGACCTCGAAGCAAACAAGGCGGACGCGCCGAAGGCGCGTGCTCGCCGCCATTTCAGCACACTCTCAAACGTCGACGAGCTCGACTCCGACGGCGTGGTCATTGACAAAGAGGACCTACCGGGTGGTAAGTCCGACCCTGCCTTCGAAGTCACATCCGCTAATGGTTGGCCTCCGGTGCACGTAGAAGACGTCGGCGCGAAGCCCGAAATGACGTTCAAGGAGCTCTTAGAAAAAGCCGAAGAAGAGTTCGAGCCCCACAATGAGATCGAGTCCGACTACGATACGGACCGTGACGCCATCCCACCTTACAAGGTACGAAGACATCCAAACATGGATGTCATCTACGAGAAACTGACGTTCACCCTCGACAACGCCACTCACCCGATGGACACGCAAACTCGCGACGCCGTACGAATCGCGCTTGTCAAGGCCTTTCGCGCCGCCCGTGCGCGCGGTCGCCACGACGGTATGCGCGAGGCCCGCAAGCGAGAATGGATGACGCACCCGGACAGTGACTTCGTGCAAGTTGCGAAGCGCGGCAAGTACAAGAAACACCTCGGGCACTTTCGTGGCAACCCGATGTTGCATAAAAGGGAGCGCGAGCAGCTGTGTGAGCTACACGCGTATTTCTCTCGCTACCGCACTGCTGATCCGCAACGCAATGGACTCGACGACACCGACACTATCCTCGCCCTCATCGACACCTCGCTCAAATACAACGCGGCGGGCGAATACGGCATCCTGCTGCACTCGCAATGCATGCAGAACGTGTTCGGCGCGCCCGGCGAGTACTCCGCCTACTCCATTCATAACTAGGCTGGAGCTCGACGTCGCGCTCACCCTGCTGTACGTCAACTTCCTTGGTATCAACCTGGTCACGGTAACTTACGATTCTGGACAGAGATCTCGTGCTCGGACGTACGGCGATCTACTACGACTGACAATATACATTCAAAAGGCCAACTTCGTTCTTCCGCCTCAGTACGATTTGTCTTGTGCTTCGACTTATGATTGGTGTTACGAACTGACTTCTCCTTCGATTCTGATGTATCTTTTCGTGACTGTAACTCTTTCAGTGCTTAGACGCGAGCACGAGTATTCGTGGCATGCCCCCAAAAGCGTGCCGGGATGCTCGTGCCTCGCAATTATGTTTATCTCTTATGGTTCGACTTGTATGTATACTTCTGCTTTGAATTGTGTGTATGCCTCGGTTTTGACTCGCGCCTCGGTTCCGACTCTTACGAACTATATGTGGTGTACGATATTAGGCTTGCATTCTCGACTCAGTCGTAGTGTACAAGTCTGCGATGTAAATTCCTCGAAAAGCCCCGAATATATTGGCCGTATTCGGTACTCCGCGTGTGCGCAGCGACTCGACTCGACCAATATAGGTGCACAAGAACTAGCTATGGAACGAGAGCTTTGTGGTCCACCACATACCCAGAATCCCGCAACCTCTGCAGACCTCGCACATGTCAAACTTGGCAATCTCCCGAGTACCTTCGCACGTCGCCGCCTCTCTCGACACGTCAACCCGACAACTCGCCACTTCACCCAACCAGGCAACTCCTCGACGCGCCTAGAGACAAGTAAGTTGCTCGCATGTGTCAGCTCGGCTAAGCAGGGCGTACCAAGCTCTGTGCAATGCCCACCGTACAGTGCAACTTCCGCCCAACGCACACGCCCACCAGTCTCAGCTTCCGAATCGACTACGACACCCGGATATGCGACCGCGAGTCAGTATGAACGTGAGAACGAAAGCATGGAACTCACAGATGAATGGCTGGCGTATGTGGGTTTGATAACGGTCGACCACGAGCAATGGGAGGAACAAGAGAGTCGCACCAACGACCACGACACGTTCGTCAGCTCGCTGAACTTAGACGCCGACGAAGAGCTACTTGCCTTTTACGGTAACGAAGTCTTGGGAGCTTACAAACGCGTTGACCGACGAGTGAAGCCTGTACCGGGAGTATTCCCAGAGGATGCACGAGTCGAACGACGCATCCCGGAAGATCCGCTAGCCTCGTTAGAGCCATTACCCATCCATCCGCCCGACTTCACGCCAGGAACACGCCTTACGGTTGAGCATTTGGAAGAGATGAATATCAATCCGAAGGGCTTTCTGTGGCCAGAAGAGGAGAAGCTTTTTCAGCACATCCTCAAGCTTAACGAGAAAGCCTTAGCTTTTGAAGAAGCTCAGCGGGGAACATTCCGAGAAGACTACTTCACTCCATACATAATTCCAGTGGTTCCGCATGAACCATGGGAATTTGCCAATATCCCGATCCCACCTGGGATCAAAGAGAAAGTCATAGCCCTGCTAAAGGAGAAGATTAATGCAGGAGTCTATGAGCCTAGCCAATCATCCTATCGTTCGAGATGGTTCTGTGTGGTTAAGAAGAATGGCAAACTTCGTATTGTCCATGACCTTCAACCTTTGAACAAGGTATCAATTCGAGACGCTGGTCTACCACCAAAAGTAGATGACTTTGTTGAAGATTTTGCTGGACGGAAGTGCTACTCAGTGTTTGATCTGTTTTGGGGATTTGATGCTCGAAAAGTTCATCCCATGAGTAGAGACATGACATCGTTTCAGACACCGTTAGGTCTTCTTCGCATCACGTCGCTACCAATGGGATTCACCAACTCACCTGCTGAGTTCCAGAAGTGTATGGCCTTCATCTTGCAGGATGAAATCCCAAACATAGCCAACATCTTCATAGATGATCTACCTGTTCGAGGACCCGCAACAGACTATCCAGATGAGAATGGCAACCCAGAAGTATTGAAAGCCAATCCAGGCATTCGGCGCTTCATATGGGAACATGCAAATGATGTCCATCGTGTCATGCATCGTGTAGGACATGCAGGTGCAACCTTCGCACCTAACAAAGCTCAAATCTGTCGCCCCGAAGTTGTGATTGTAGGACAGACATGTACACCTGAGGGCAGATTACCAGAGTCAAACAAGGTTGATAAGATTCTTAACTGGCCAGTTCTACAGAGTGTTCATGACATTCGGGCTTTCTTGGGCCTATGTGGAACAGTCCGGATATGGATTCACAACTACTCTAAGGTAGCTCGTCCACTGACACAGCTGTTGCATAAGGAGACAGATTTTGAGTGGACAGATGGCTGTCAGGTAGCCTTTGATGCTCTGAAAAGTGCAGTAACATCAGCACCAGCTCTACGACCTATTGACTATAGCTCAGACAATCCTGTCGTACTATCCGTTGACTCTAGCAAGTATGCAGTTGGCTTCATCCTATCACAATACGATGAAGCCGGACGCAAGAGACCTGCCCGATATGGGTCAATCCCAATGTCAGAGCGAGAGTCACGCTATTCTCAGCCAAAGCTGGAGCTGTATGGACTGTATCGTGCCTTACGAGCCTACCGCTTATACCTCACTGGAGTGCAAAACCTAGAGGTGGAAGTGGATGCAAAGTATATCAAAGGCATGCTCAATGAGCCAGACCTACAGCCTAACGCAACCATCAATCGATGGATACAAGGAGTATTGCTCTTTACCTTCAAGCTCATCCATGTACCTGCAGAGCGACACAAAGGTCCAGATGCTTTATCTAGACGTCCACTAGCGGATGGAGAGGATACTGAAGAAGAGGACGACTCATGGCTAGACGATATTGCCTTGAACATAGAAATTCAGGAGCACCATCGCCAGCTAAAGTATGAGTGCATCCCATCCTATGCTGCACTATTGAGTCAGAGTCATGGCCATGTGTTCATCTCTGCCAACACCAAGGCAGATAGGCTTCTATTTCAGTATAGGAAGTTCCTCACATCCACTGAATTACCTCTCTTAGACACACAGCAAGCCAAACGACGCTTTATCCAGAGTGCAAGTCGTTTCTTCATGAGGAATGAAAAGATGTACCGACGTAATGGTACCCAGCCTCCACGTCTAGTGATCATGAAGGCTGAGAAGAGGTTGGAAATTATGACCCAAGCTCATGAAGGACTTGGCCACCGAGGAGAGCAAGCTGTGATGCATACTGTCAAGGAAAGGTTCTATTGGCCAAGCATGTGGAATGACATTCATCATCATGTAAGCTCGTGCAAGCAATGCCAGATCCGCAGTGTTCGCAAGGTTGAGGTACCACTGGTGATTTCCACCCCTGCCACTATATTTGTTAAGATCTATCTAGACATTATGGAGATGCCTAGAGCAAAAGGATTCAAGTATATCATTGCGGCTCGAGATGATTTATCAAGAGCTAGTGAAGGTAAATCCTTGAAGAATAAGAAGGCAAAATCAGTAGCAGCCTTTTTCTTTGAACAGATCTTGTGCCGGTATGGTGCTGTTGGTGAAGTGGTAACTGATAATGGCTCTGAGTTCAAAGAAGCCTTTCAGAAATTGATGAAGCGATATAAGTTGCCACAAATCAAGATATCCAGCTACAACTCTAAAGCTAATGGAGTTGTAGAACGAGGGCACTTCATTATTCGTGAGTCAATCCTCAAGACTTGTGAAGGCAATGCAGACAAATGGCCCGACTATGTTCACCATGCGTTCTTCACTGATCGCGTGACTGTTAGTCAATCTACTGGATTCTCTCCCTACTATTTGTTGTATGGAGTACACCCAGTCCTCCCTTTTGATCTGGCCGAAATGACTCTGTTAGTAGATGGATTCCATGCAGGAATGTCTACCAGTGATCTGTTAGCATTACGAATCAAGCAGTTGATGAAGAAGCCAGATGATGTTGCACGTGCGGCACAACTGCTGAAACATACACGCTTGCGTTCTAAGGAAGTCTTTGAGCGACGCTATCAGAGGAGATTGAACAGAAAGGTGTATGAGCCTGGCGACTTGGTCTTGGTGCGTAATAAGGCAGTCGAACAGAGTGCCGACCGAAAGCATCACCCAAGATACCTAGGGCCTTTTAGTGTCGTCCGCCAGACAAAAGGAGGTTCATATGTTCTATCCGAACTTGATGGTGCAGTGTGGAGACAGGGAATTGCAGCATTCCGACTTCTCCCATTTGTGTCAAGAGAACAGATTGAAGAATTGAACTGGGCCGATGATGATGAAGACCTGGATATGGATGAAGATGAAGAAATTGAGGATGATGAGGAGTATGATGAACAAGAGCATAGTGAAGAGGAGATGGAAGATGAAGATGAAGAGTAGGACTTTTTTCTTTTTTTATGGCCAGGGATGCAGAGTGCAACTGGGGACAGTTGCATTTTCTTTGTGCCGTCCAGATGTCCTGAGCCAATATTGTTTGGCTCAAGGAACATGGTATATACCTCTATTTCCTTTCTATTGATATGACCTGTTACCAGACTACTCATTCACAGCACAGCCCCCTGCAGTGCATAGCCATGGTCATGTGAGACTAGTCTAGAAGGTCACGTGGGCTTTGAGATTGCAGTGTGACTGGTGGCATAGTCATGAGTACAGCATGAGCACAGCCACGCACAGCCTACGCACAGCCCCCGGACTGGTTAGGGCCTGCTGGGCAATCCACATGTTGTCTCAGAGTACAGCCTCCAGATGTATTTCAAATAGGATACAAGGCAGTGCTAGATACTGACTTGTGATTGGCTGACCCATGTCATATGGCAGTACAGGCTGTACCACATGAGTTGCTTTGAAGTACATAGCTGTGTTCATGACTAAGGATGAGTAAGGACTGACTAAGTAGTGTAATCTGTATGAGTAAAGCTGTTCCCCACATGTATATAAGGCCCCCAGTTTTCCATGGATGAGGCAGTCAAGTTCTCCCAGATTCTCAGTGTAGATCTTGTGAGCTGCTGCTCTGCAAGTTAGTAACATAAGCTAACAAGCGGCATCCTAGTGTGCAATATACTACAGTTCAGCTTAACAGTCTATTGTGTGACTTCAAGCCCCTGTTAGTGCCTCTAGTGATTCTTGATCGGTAAGCTGTTTACCTTAATCAGCAACTCTTGTAGTCACGTCTCAGTCACGCACGTCACTCGTATCCACGTATTCCAGTCTAGTGGGTAGGCTAGTGGTTAGTCTATCCATTCAGCACGTCACGTCACTTCAACGAGATCAGCCAAGTTATAGTGTGTAAAGGCAATTCAATTGCTGTGGTAAGTAAAAACAACTGTACTTGCTAACAAACTTTACAGTACTACCAACACTCAACCAACCCCCTCTACAACGAACAACTGTGATAGCCCGGTATTGCTCATACCCGGTGAACCGCAGCAGAAACACATTCTGACCTGATACCGGTCAGACAGCCATATGGGAAACGACCAAAGCCCTCTGGGCACAGAAAGACTTACCCTGGCCATCCCCTCTAACACTGCCGGACGTCCTGGGAGTTGGCCTGAAGACCTGGACCAACCCAGGATCTAAGACGGTCCGGCATGGCGCCTCGCGCCTGTGGCGAATACTGATCCCGGAGGCGGCATTCCTAATCTGGAAGTTACGCTGTGAACGGGTAGTGGGACATGCGGAACAGCCGAACTGGATGCACTCAGAGGCAGAAATAGTAAACCGATGGTCCTTCGCCCTCAATGAGAGACTACATAAGGAGATTACAATGACACATCGCCGTTTTGGAAGGTCAGCCCTACCACGCAGTAAAGTACTAGACACTTGGGGCGGTACGCTGCATAACGAGATAAGCCTTCCACAAGACTGGACCCAATGGCCCCGGGTTTTAGTGGGTATTAACCTGCACACGATTCGTGAGCAGGCGAATGAGTCCCACACTGGTCGGGAACCCGACCGTGCGTAAACGCATTTTCTCCCTGGATGCACTTGCGGGGGAACCCGCTAGCTGGCTGGACGCCCGGGCTAACCAATTGTTAGTTGCGGCCGCCCATTTCTAAGCCCTCCAAAAAAAAAAAAAAAAAAATGTAACGGTGTTAACAAGGTACTACAACGGGGTTGTAGTCGTTTGTAGAGCCATTCTAATGCCGATTAGTGTGGGACGTGAAACAGTTATTGGCGGTCAGTTAAGCCGTTGGAGCCGCCGGATTCGAGTTGCCTGGACGTCATGTTCTCTTGCCAGGCTGCCGCCACGGTGACCACGCCCCCTCTCGCGACCTCAGCGACTTCAGGCTAAGGGCAGTCGGCCCATCCCCTTGGCCACGCTCGTAATCGCTGGTGTCGCCTTCTGTTGCCCTCATCTCCTTGCCAGACAACGCGCTCGAGAAGATCTCTCTAGATTCCGTTCGAGGGCAGCGAACAAGCCAGGTTCGACTTCAAGCGGACTTTGGCTCTGACCGAAGTGTGATACAGTGACATTTCATTGCTTGCATAGGCTGGTTGGTGAGCATCTTCTGTGACTCTGAGGATATTGCTCCCGTTGACCCTTAGACAGTGTCAAAATGACTTCCCCGGACGCACCCTCGGTGCTCACGAACTCCATCGCGAGCTCTCCCATCCCTATCGGCCCCTCTCCAGAACGGTCTCACTCTCATTCTCCTGTGCGCCTGCGGAGAAGCAACAGTGACATTGCGGACGTTGATCCTACCGTCCCCCACTCTCGCCCCCGCCTGTCACCGACGTTGACCAGAGGATACAACCCTAATGACCCTGAGGTGCGCGAACGCCAGCGTGCCATGGACGCTGACATGGCCATGCATCTCTCCCGTGCCCGGAGCAACACCGTCACCTCACCTACTACATCGCCTGTCGCTCCGGTTCCGCGCCCCTTGTCCCAGTCGTTAGACAGCCCCGTCAACTTCCCCGTTCTCTCTCTTCAGGAGGAGCAGGACGTGAACGATGCACGGGGTCGTCCGCACGTTAACTCTGATCCCGACCACGCAGAGCACTATCATCCGGGCCCAGCGCCAGATGCGCACCTCAACCACCTCAGTGCGGCTCATGACCCGTCCTTGCTTGTATCTATGGAGACGGCCGACATGGAGGCTGGGCTTCCCATGTACCAGGCAAGCGTTGGCGGGCCATCTCCTGAACAGCAGCAGTATGACTTTGGCCCGTTGGAGACGTTCGCTCGAGAGGAGAAGGCGCGGCTCGGCATTCAGACTCCTGCAAGCCCTACGGGCCCGCACATTGGGCGCCCACCAATGCCTGCGCCTCATAGCCAGGGCCAGAGCGAGGCAGACCCAAGCCCGAGCGGAAGTCACTTCACGATCCCGCGCGTGCGACATCGCAAACTCTCGCATAGCGCACCCACTCCGCGACGAGGGAAGCTTGCGCTCTTCGAACAGCCTGGGGCGGGGGCTGCACCACCAACGTCTGGCACGACCCTCAGTGCCGTACCGTCGTATGACAATGTCAACGACATCATGAACGGCACACCGTCGGCGGGTGGGGGTGCTCATGGGCTCGGTGGGCCGGGAACGGGACACGACCGACCATACCGTTTCTCTTTCTACTCGAACGCCTTGAGTGCGACTATCCATTCGCGAAGCCTCAGTGAGCTCCCAGCAGAGGGACAGAGCTTTGAGGATATGTTCTTTGGACGAGAGCCGGCCCCGCCAAATGCTGCGGGACCGAGGCTAGGTATGAACGGTAAACCAGGGTCATACGCACCGACCAATGTCGGGTCGAATCCTGGCTCGCTGCTCACCTCGCCGAGGTTGAACGCCATCGGTCCTGGGACCTCGAAGATATTTAGCGGCGGCGAGCGGAGACTACCGGGAGACGCGACGGCAGATGGTTGTACATGGTGGCTGGACGTGTTGTCGCCCACTGACGAGGAGATGAAGCTACTCAGCAAGGTACGTCCTTGATTGTTCTACGTTGTCAACAGTCTAACGCACGAGGATTCCAGGTCTTCTCCATCCATCCATTGACTACCGAGGATATCCAGATGGAGGAAACTCGAGAGAAGATCGAGTTGTTCCGAAACTACTACCTTGTGTGTTTCCGTGGCTTCGACCAGGACCCATACAGCCCGACGTATCTCGAACCACTCAACATGTACATTATCGTCTTCCGTGAAGGCATACTGTCGGTACGTCCCTCGCGCACGAGACTACCTAGGAACCTCGATCTCATCATACCGTCGCCATGATGCAGTTCCACTTCCGCCCGACCCCTCATCCTCAGAATGTTCGCCGGCGGATCAAGCAGCTGAAGGACTACATCAGCGTTACGTCAGACTGGATCTCATACGCTCTCATCGACGACATCACCGACGCCTTCGGACCCCTCATCCAGAGCATCGAGTATGAAGTCGACAGCATTGATGAACTCGTACTTATCCTCAAGGAGGCGGAGCAGAGCGACATGCTGAGGAGGTATGTCATGCGTGATATTAGCATTGGGAGCGTGGCCCTCATCGTACCTCATCCGATAGGATTGGTACCTGCCGTAAGAAGGTCATGGGTCTGCTGAGGTTGATGGGCAACAAGGCCGACGTCGTGAAGGGTCTCGCCAAACGATGCAACGAGAACTGGCGTGTTGCACCAACATCGGACATCGTGAGTTGTTCTTTCGTCGTGGCCGATCGCTCGCCCGACTCATCTCTTTCTAGGGTCTCTATCTCTCCGATATCCAAGACCACTTGATTACGATGACGCAGAATTTGAATCACTACGAGAAGATCCTGTCTCGCTCGCACTCCAACTACCTCGCGCAGATCTCGATCGAGATGACGGAGGCGAACAACCAAATCAACGACGTTCTCTCGAAGCTCACTGCGCTCGGTACGGTACTCATCCCCATGAACCTCGTCACAGGTCTGTGGGGCATGAACGTCCACGTGCCTGGGCAGGATGTGCAAAACGGCTACGTGTGGTTCGGGTCTATCATCGGGGTGCTCGCTGCCTTTGCGCTCATCGCGGGCTGGTCGACGTACAAACTGATGGTACATCGTTGACAGTCGACGGGCGCGCGCCCCGGCGCGTTTGCAGGTTTATCTTTCCTAGGAGGTTTTGTGGTCTCAGGCATGGTCGCTCATCGTTTCTTCACTGCATTGCAATCACGCCCTTTCCGCGGCACTGGCATAACATACCGTATACTTATTCTCAGTGGTATTCGGCATCCCACGCAATAGACGACAGCATTTATGTGTTGACACTGCTCTTGGTGAAATTTTCGACACTTCGATGAACGTCACGGTCTCGAGCGATCTGCCTGGGTCTGATCACTCATTATCCAAATAAGTAGCCGACGACGAGAGATAAAGTAGTCAATGTCGTATCAAGAGGTCGACCGCTGACAAAACAACGCGACAACAGTCGGCATTCCCGTCCAAGGTCCTGCACTGAGCGAGTGAGCTACCCAGTCAACAGTCTTGCGAAGGGGTCCATGGGGTTGGGTATAGATCATGCGACGTACATTCAACGACATCGATTATAGCTATAAGCCTGCCTATAGCAAGTGCTGTCATGAGCTCCTGTTCGGAATGAAGGGCAGCATAAACGTACTCGGGGCCCATACTCCACAATTTCCCCCGTAGCAGCCACCTGAACAGCACCTTTTCGGCGCTCCCGAATCCGAGGGTGGAATTGGCGAAACCGTACAGTTCGTCTGCGTTAGCCACTTCGTGTAGTTGCAGCGGACAGACGTTGGCATCTAAGAGCAGTCGTCTGTACAACCTCTTGAGCTCCTTGACGTCAGCGATCGACCGCGCGTTGGAGAACCCATACATCAATGTTAACGGATGATGCTTCTCATGGACGATAAACGTGTCGGAGTCAACCAGGACAATGCCCTTGAGGAGCCAGGCTATCTGTGAGCAGCCGCAAAACGGAGGGGCTTGCAAGATGCCCAGCAGCTCCGTGCGTCTGTGCCACCCATGAACCGGCAGTGAGGAATCGACGAGGAACCAAAGCTTGCCGTCGTCGTAGGCGAGCCAGAATTCTTCGAATGTGTACAGTTGGAAGAGGTGCTCGTAGATGGCCTTGAGCTGCTTCTCCTCGTCGTTATTTCTGCAGACGCAGAACCCAAAATGGACCCAGATATCTGTTGGAGGTATGACTGCGATATGGCAGAAGATATGTTCACACAGGTTGAAGCAGAGTGCCTTCGCCGCTGGCCACGTCTCCATGATTTCGTCCATGTCGGGGCGAGTAGCGTCCGGAACTCCAGTCCAATGACTGAAGCGCGCAATAGTGGCCTGTTCACCCTCTTCGACAGCCTGGGGAACCCCCAGTGACGGTTCAATTATCCATCGGTGCCCCTGGAACCACCTGAAGGCTTGACTTCTGCTGGCACGACCCGACTTTGCGTAACCCAACTCGATTACTTGGCACAAGATTCGAGCTTGCCGCCAATAACGAAGTGCCTTTGCGGGAATCTCCAATTCGACGATGAATTCAACCCAGAAATCGAGGAGTGCGTGCACGCCGCCTATTTTCGCAGCGTATACGAAGCCGTATTCCATGCAGGTGTCGATATCATGAGGGATGTAGCGGCGGTGCGCGGCGCGCACCAAATGGTCCGCTGTATCTAGCTGGAATGAAGACATGGAGGCGCATTCGAATTTGTGTTCTGGCCAATCTTGCCCCTGGCAACCTTTGCTGCAGTAGTTGGCACTCGACAATGAGCACCCTTTACACCTTTTCGTAGCGTATCTCGGGCACTTCGCGCAATAAAGGACCATGACGCGACGGGGTCGCGCTTCCAGGAGAGGCGCCGTCGGGTTTGGTACTGTGTATCTGCATATGTAATGCTATGTCAACGAAGTAAGCGCGCCACAGGGATACGACGCACCAGTTGATGTATGTTCGTAAATGTGAGCCCTTTCTGGGATAGTGGATCATATACGTTCGATTATTGACACTCGCGCTTACTGACGGAGACTACTAGTATGTGTAGCGTGTTGAGATGATGGTTGATAGGGAAACCTCCTAGGCTGCTCACCTTTGTCTCCAGGCGGCACAGTCGTGATGCATCAAGTACAAGCATAGACTAGACGCTTGTCGGCTCTTATGGTCTGCACTGGGTCTGCAAACGGAGACTGAAGCATTCAGTGTAACGGGGGTGACTGGTCCCACTGGCATAAACGAGAGTATCTCTTTCTGGTCAGCAACAGAGACTATGGCCCAGTGCCTCGCCCATTTTAGCAGGTGAAGAACTCGACACAACTTCGATGTCTTCGCTCAGTCTTCGCCTGAGACTCAGTGTGCTGACGACGCTGCTCATCAACGTACAGCCAATTGCCTCCAAACTGCGAGCGCAATCCTTTTGTGCTGAGGAGTTGTGATGGCAGAGGGAGTCGGCCTGCACATTCCGTCCAAACTTCACTTCGAGCGTATCGACTGCACCCGACCGTAAGTACCGCTCAAATTCAGGCTCCTGCCTGACAGCAGGGATCGTGAGGTTGAGTGTGGCAAAAGCAATGCTAATAGAGGTCATGAGAGGTCATCAACGTACGTTATACAGTAGCTATAATATATGGCGTAACGATTGTCTCCGGAATAAGAACCAGGGGGAATGACGACAAATGACATCCAGTAGGCATGATAGGCGACGGACACAGTACCCGTCAGAGAAGCACGAAGGCGCACCGATGTCTGATATTATCCGCAGAAAGCAAATGCAGCGGACACGGGCCGTTTCATCTCTTGCGTAGCTGCTCACGGAGGGTTGAATTTTCCGTCTGTACGTTATTCAGCTCCTCCAGTAGGGCCATCTGCTGCATCTGTTGAGAGCTTCGCATCGATTCGATCTCGTCCTTCGCCCGAGCGAGCGATGCGTTACACTCTGCAAGCTGAGTCTCCAGCTGCTTGCTGACATTGACAGAGCCGCCGGCGGATGCTGACTCTTCCGCCAGAGCAAGCATGCGCGCACTGAGCGCGTTGTTGGCGTCCGTGAGCTGTCGACAGGTCTCGGCTTGCTCAGCAGCTTGCATCTCGATCTCGAGCTTCTCAGCAGTGATTTGCTCAATAGTCTCATGCAGTTGTTGCACCTCCTCGTCCCTGAGATACATAGTATCAGTGTGGCGCCCGAGGAACATCCAAACGTCAGTACTTACAGTGCTTGTTGCTTGGCCATCATCGTGAGATTTCGCTCTTCAAGCATGTTGACCTGCTTCTGGTATGTCTCAAGTGCGTTACTACTCTCCTGCGCCAACTTCTGAGCCCGCTCCGCGTTCTTCTTGAGTAGGTCGTGTGCTTGCGCGAACCGGAGGAGACGCTCGATAAGAGCGCGGTCGTCTGCAATGAGAGCTTGCACTCTGGTCACGAAGCCCTCCACTGTGAACGCGCCGGAGGGCTGAGCGGAAGTACCCCTCGGGTCATACAGGGTTTTGAGTGACCGCACATCCATGTCCGACAGTGATGCATTGCTACGACTGGCCAGAACAGGGCTTGAAGGAGGACCCGGGCGGACGTTACGCGCACCGAGTTTGTTGGCCCGAGCTTCGGGAGAGGGTAGTACGGCCCACATAGGCTGCAATAGCGCAACTATTGATGCAGCGTCGGTGGCAAAGTCCACGGGACCCTGAGGACCCTGCAGGCTGACTACTGCCATCTGCGCCATCGATTGTTCCTTGAATGAAATGGCGTTAGGTTAGTCGTTCAAACCGAGCTGTTGACTTACCCTGAGTTGCGTTTCGAAGTCCCGAGCTTGCATTCTCGCCTCGTCCCGCGTTCGCCGTGCTTCTTCAACCTCCTCGAACAGCGCCTCTCGCTTGTCGAGACCTGCACGGACGTCCATCTCAAGTTTCGTCCTCAGTGCAACCCACTCATCCTCGGCACGAGCATGCGCCTCGGCCTTGGAGTGCATATCTTCTATATGCCGCCCGACGGATTGTACAAGACCCATAAGCGAGACATCCCGCGATGTGAGCACGATGCCGTGGGCGTGCATGAGGTCCCGTAGTGCATCCGAGTACTGTGCCAGTTCCATCTTGCTCTGCGCGCCGTCCTGCAATGTAGCCTTCTCCGCCTCCCATGATGACCGCTCAATATCCCACTGTAACTTCATATCCGCCATCTGCCTCTGCGTCTCTTCCATCTTCTTCTCCCTCGCTGCCAACATACCTCGAATCTCTTCTCGCTCGCGCGCGAACGCGGTCTCCATCTCCGCAACCTCCCCGCTCTGTTCCTCAAGTACCTCCAGTCTTCTCTCGAGTGTGTCCACCTCGCGACGTCGTTCTTCTAGCTCCGCATGGTCTCGTCTCCAAACCGCCCTCTCCGCCTCGAGTTCCTGCAATCGCACGTCGACGCCCTCCGCCCTACCCGCCGACTGCTCGAGCGTCGCGATGGTCTCCTCTGCAGATTGAAGGTCCATTCCCAACGTTGTCTCTATCTGCTCCTTCTCGAGGCGCAAATGGGAGAGCTCGCGCACCATCTCGCCCTGCTTTGCGGTCGCAGCTTCAAGGGCGGCCGTGGCGGCCCTGAGCTTATCCTCTAGCGCGGTGACCTCTGCCATTGTCGGCGGTAATCGAGGGGTGGTCGGAGTGACAGAATCTGAGTGGCCTGCGAAGAAGTGCTCGAAGCGACCTCGTGAGGATACGGTGGTCATGCTCGTCACGGACGATGGCGTTGGGCTCATCTGCGCGCTGCGACTTGGCGAGCTGTACCCAGATGCGCTTGAGTCCCCGTCCTGGGGCGCGGCTTTCTTCTCGAGGCTCCGGACCGAGTAGCTGAGTACCCCTGCGCGATGTTCAAACAGCTTCCGCTGTATCTCGTTTGCGCGTTCCGAGACGCGCCATAAATCCTTTTGTGCCTGTTCAACCTTCCGGTTGGCTGTCTCCAGGTGCTCACTTGACTGTTTGGATACGTTCTTGTAGGATGCATTCGCCTTGGACAGGGACAGTGCTGCATCGCGTATTTTGGTCTCAAGAGCGAGTTTCTTCGTCATAGCAGCGAGCCGCGAAGAGAGCACCTGGTGCTCCTATGCGCGATACACAGTTCTAGTACGATCAACAGAAGTAGACATGTGAGACACACCTTCTTGAGCTCCTCAACCTCCTCCGCACTCAGAATCTCGCATCCTCGACTGTCCACGATCGCCTCGCTCGCGAGCAGGCTGATGAGAAGGTCGTCCCGGGCATTATAAACCATAGAAGTTGGACGTAGTTCCATCGCAACAGGTTTTCTTGAAAGCTCCGATACACGGGTGGGGAGCGGGCGAGGCGATGATGGGCCCGCGCCCGGTGACGAAAGCTGTCCGGACGAGCCGTTGCTTCGTGGCGGGGAGATACCATTTGACTCGCGCGATGATTGTGGTGAATGGAAAGAGCCATTGCCTACAACGCCCTCATCGAAAGTCGAGGCCGTGGGTAGCGGTCGCTGCCTGTCCTTCCGAAAGAATAGTCCTGCAGTTGTCGTTTTGGGACTGTCCACCGGGTCTGGCGGCGAGGAGTCCGTAGGACTCTGGACCGGTGAGGGCGGCCATGTAGGTTTGGGCGGAACAGCAAGGGGAGCAGGGCTCTGGAAGGGTGACTCGAGGGTTGGGCCTGGGGGAGGAGTGGACGGAGAGACGGGGAATTGCTGGGCGGTCGGAGGCGTGCCTCCGCCAGCGAGAAATCGACGTACGCCGTTCATGCACGATTCGCACCGCTAGGGCAAAATGCCCGCTCCGAAATGAGTGACCCAATAGTGAGAGCAGGGAGCCAGTCGCCGATGAGATGTGGAAAGCACAGCGGCGGCTTGTTGGCGGGACGGACGGTTGCCGAGAGTCAAATCGTAGCGGCGGTGACTCTCCCTGACGACAATGCGATACTACTCGCTGTTCAACGATGCGGAGGGATCCGAATCAGAAGGAGACAGCACTGAACGATATCCGCGGACGCATTGAGCCAGAAATATCCCATCATGTTGAAGTACTTATCGCTTCGCGAAGTGCGTATCCCGATGTTCATGCGAGTGAGCTTCCGCGTTCCTATAGCTATACCCTACGAGACATCGTTTGACACGCTCAGTAACCCTATGACACTGCGCCTAGTAGTGTTTGAAGGCTTCACGAAGTTGCGCTACATACAGTAAGTATTGACAACGTGTTGTAGCAAGTAGGTGAAGTCGCAAGATCGATTGCAATCATTGCCAGCATGAAGCAACTGCATGTATATATATCGGGCCGTACATATGGACAAGGGTCCAGCGTCCAACACTGATCTGAGTGCCATGTCATGCCCCCGCTCATTTTAAGCACATGGTACTTAGCAGCGGGATCTCAGCTTCTGCCCCAGTAACGCGGCCCAATCCCGAAGGCACACACGAACACCATCATGACACTCCCCACTTCAAGAACGAAGTAAGGCGTACGCGGTCCAGCGAAGAACGCTGCGAGCGCCAGAACGAGCATCGCATGCTTCGGAGACAGCATAAGTCTACCGAATCTACAGAATGTCGTGGTCGTCAGAACGTGAGTGCCACGGTCAACGAAGTAACGCAGCACTCACGAAGGCTCGAACATAGTCCCTCCCATGCCTGCCCATTCAACGAGGACAAGCCACGGTGCCACTACCAGTACGTTCCGGTCCGAACTCCAGCCCCAACCTGAGCCGGCGCCCCACACGGCCTGTAGTCCGGATCCCGCGAGGGTGCGCACCCATACAGCGAGCACAGGTGCAGCGATGGGCAGCAGCCATGTCATCAGCAACAGGATGTATCTGTTCGTGTTATATGCCGACACCAGAGCATCAAAGGAACTAAAACTGGGGGACGATCTAGGCGACGCGAGCTCTGGGGATGGTGGGATGGTGGACTCCTCGCGGGACATGAGCGGGATGGAGTGCTCTTTTGGTTTTCCGGATGCCGAACGGACGACAGCCGCGCCGGCCGCGCAGGTGTAGAAGTGATAGATCCATGCGCACAGGAAGGCGACCTGCCATGGTATGAACACCACGATCAGGAGGAAGACGAAGAGCATGGAGACAAGGGCGTTTCTTCTTGCACTGATAATCTCTCTGGACCTGTAGACATATGTCAAAGACAACCGGAATGAGGCTGAGAGCGGCATACCTTGTCGGTCGCCGAGCTCCGCACGACAGCGCCTTCGACGTGAGTGTCAGGGTCATACCAACTACCGTCCAACTCACGCACACCAAACCGACGACCACCAGTAGTAACAGAGGTGCAATACCCGCGAATACCGGTGCGCCTACGTTCCCAAGCCACATCCCAGTCGGGAGCGGTATGAATGACACCGCAACACTCAACACGAGCATCTTCGGGAGCCACCGAGTAGCCAGGTACGATAGCGATTCGGCGACATTTGGAACTGGGCGAGGCCCCTCTCCGGCACCCCAAGCATGGTGCAGCGCGAGCGCAACGATGCCTACTCCCCAAGCGATGACCGCCTGCGCGTATCGCGTGCCCCATCTCCCTAGTGTGCCCCACCAGTTGATTGAGATGTAGAGGTTCTCCACTGAGCATGGCTGATCGTTGGAGGTATAGACTATGAGGTTGAAGCCGTGGAGAGGAGTAGAGACGAAGGGCCCTGAAGCGTGCGAGTGGAGCAGTGTGGCTTGGTGCGGCTGAGACTGGAGGAGAGAGAAGTAGTGTGTCTCGAAGTGGTCGGAGGTGTGCTCGAGCAGAGGGGGCATGAGTGCATCTAGACATCGGGTCAGCTCTGTGGAGAGTACTGATTAGTGAGAGGAAGCACCTTTACAAGTCGCCGCATCCCTCAACGATGATTTGAGCCTGTACACTACTAACGAACTGGAAAGCAGCTTCGGGAAGACTACTTCCGTTCGGAGTGTACTCGCTGGGAAGTCGAGTTTCGATCCCGCCCATATCAAGCCTACAGCAACACATTAGAACGACTTTACTGCGACGACCGTGAACATACTGACCGAACATCCCTACGTCTTTCACAATCGGTTCGTCGCCAGCAAAGCCCGCTGTAACCCAGCCCCGCCCATCTGCGTCCTCGATCAACACAGCCACATAGGATTGCTGCTCCGAAGTACCAATTGGGACGTTCGCGACGAACACGACTACACCCTCGCTTTCGTCCGACCCTTCATCGGGCGCAGGGAATGGCTTGTCTGGCACTGGTTCCGGTACAAGCTTGAGGATCGTAGGTGAGAGCCGCGGACACGAAGTGTGAGTAGACGAGGAGCAGAGGTAGACAGAGACCCGGAGAGGAAGGGGATTGTGAGGCGAGATGGGGGCGATTGACCCACGAGACAAGTATAGAGTGAACAGGCTATTGGATTGTGTGGGCGTATTGGGTATCGGAAGGAGATACGTGTGCGACTGAGTAGGTCTCCGAAGGAGGAGCGCGTCGGAGTAGTGCACTTCTTCTGGTCGAAGTGCACTCAGATCGATAGTGTCCCTGTGGTCGCCGACACCATCGTCTACAAACGACGCAGGGGGAGCGTGCCCATCCCTGAGCCACTTGTCCAGCACTTGCCCGCGTACTTTTGTTGAATGCTCTGCTGCAGCAGCCAACTCGATCACCGCTCTTGCTACGCGCCATCGCACCTGATGGCACCAGACCATCTCTTTGTGTCCAACTCCAGTCCAAGCACCCTCGAGTGCACTGGTAAAGACTGTCCGCCGATAGAAAGTTGAACCGCCGTCGTCTGCTTCTGGAACAGGCAAGATACATGACTCTGCCGGTACAAGCAGATCAGTGGCGCCTCCACATAGCGATAGCACAGGCGTAGAATCATCTCGTAGGATCTCTCGATTGCTTGCGAGTATGCTGTCGATACGACGATCGAGTCGTGCGGGAGGCAGCGTATGCGCAGTGGACATCGTGATGAGTGCGGAGACGTTGGGATGCGGTAGCAGGGAGACCGCAACAGTGCCACCCATGGAATGTCCCAGGAGGATGATGGAGGTGGGCTTCTCGTAAAGCGAAAGAATGTAGTCGACAGCTGCACGAGCATAGGCCGTCTCGGCATCGAGGGTATGACCGTCAAAGGCAGACAGGTCCTCATTGAATTCAACTAAAACGATGTTACGAGGAGTAGCATATGACATGAGGTGAGCGACATACGCGCAAAGAAGTCGACCGGCCTCTGAGGACCGTGCTCAAAAGCGGCCTCAACATGATATGGGGACGAAAAATACTGGCGCGTCGCTGAGGATGCTATTGAGCGGACTTGATGCGAAGAACCGGCGTTGCCGGGAATGAAGAGTACCGGAGACCCACGGAGCTATACTGATGCTTAATGAAACCTTCTGCGATGCGCCGCATAAGCCGTGTGCCATACCTCGCCAGGGCCCTCCCAGCCAACTTCGCGGTAGAGGAAGAGAGAGTAGCGGGACGCGAGAGGTGTCCAGCTGTGATCCAAGCCGGCCTGAAGCACGTATGAGGGTGACATCCACGACATGCGACATCCCTGTGGCGAGAGTGTCTTCACAATGTCCAGACCAGCGCGGTAGAAAATAAGCACACAAAGAAGTGCATATGCTCCGAGGAAACCGATGGCCTGCCAGTGAGAGCGCATACCCATTGCTGGCCGCGACAGCGAGTGTTCGTCGCTCGCTGACCACCCAACTGGAGATGTACAAGCAGTATATCCAAACTTTAGGCGGTCATCGGTAGTCGCATGTGTCGGTGTGGTCCAAGTGTCGTCGCTGTGTGCCACATTGCTCGCCGCGAGCATCTGTGCCTCAGCTCGCCCGCCCATCGCGAGCGCTCGTCCTTAAGCCTGCCCTAGACAAGGTGTGCGTGACCGCGTTGTGAGCAGGAACGCTCGATTCTTGGTGTGCACAGCACAGCAAGACTGGCTACCGCAGTCCTACGCAAGACCCACTTGATACCTTGATATGACTTTCAAACGTTTGGGACGATTCGGTGCATGGAACACGTTCACTGGGTTTCGTTTCGTTCAGTCCTACTGTGAGTGATACACCCGAGCTCAGGCTCTCGAAGGCCGCCTAGTATGACGCTGCAATGCGGACGTGTTCATAGAGGAGTCAGCTCAAGCCTAAATAAAGGCCTAAGGGGTGCCAGCTTGCCAGAGATGCAACTTGGTCCGAATCCGAGGTTCTGTGCGAGGCAGCACGGCCAAGCCGCTGGAGCTGTGCTAACAGGACTCTACAACAACGGCTACCATATGTGCTTCATTCATTCGAACTCCACTGGCATCTGTAAGGAATGTGATCGCGGCGAACGGCTGACTTGAAGCGAGGGCGCAAATAACTCCAGAAAAGCGGTCAGTACACATCCATTGGTAAATCGTAAGAACATACTGAGACTACCAGACCTTTCTCAGGTATTAGCATCTGTCGTGACTGGCGCTGCAATGGGTCGGCTTTAAAATACCCTCAGGCTCACAAAGATGCAATGTTCCCTGCGATGACTCGGTTTCTCGACACGGCGACCGATTTTACTTTGCGACGCTCTGAGCAAGTACCCACTATGTTGCGTCGGCCCATTTTCCCACTCGCCTGGCTTGCCCGCTGACTTGGCCCCTACTCGTCCGATTAACTGCCAGCCCCTTGTGTACATGCCTATCCGCTGACTGCTGCCTCGTCGCACCATTACCCACCCACTCGTCTGCCTGCCTTCTCGTTCGCCCGCCTGCGCATTCCTTGCTCGCGCACTCCCCCACTGCCCGCTTCTCCCGGCTCCGTCCGTGACCAGCTTAATTTATCTGATGCGTGTGGCATTTGTCCCTTCAAGCTTCAGTGGCTGGCTCCTACCTTCCGCGTGTACAGTCCGGGACCTTCGACTGTCCCAAGGCACTGATGCAGCATTGAAGCTATCTCTACGGCTTTGTTTCCAGTCAGTCGCACATGCCGGGTCCCTGACGTCTAGATCTGACTGCGGCTCCATGTCTGACATCAATTTCTTGAGATGTATGTACCTTCTTCAAGTATCCAGATGTTACATTCTTCTGTCACCGGTGGCCGTTGCGCTGGTATCATCCTGACAGCAATTTCTATCAGATGATGTTTGCCCTCGTTTCCAAACAACTTGCCGTCGAGCGAGTACGTTGGGTTCCGATGATCATGGGCCAGCAGTCGCTTCGAATCATCCTTCATTCCGATGGGTACGCGTGTCCATCGCCCTCTTCCGTGCAGCCGTTCCGCGATTATGCTGATCATGTGCGACTCTACCTACCAGGTATCTTTTATCTCCATTGGCTTCCTGGAAGGCCGTAGCCTGACTTTGTGAGTCCCAGGTGAGCTAAGTTGCAGATACGTCTCACACGCGACCTAATGGTGCAAGTCGCTGTCTCCCTCGACTTGCCGGAAGTGCATGGGTTGTTCAAGCACACCGGTATGTATACGTGGGCCGTATGAACTAAGCTGTTATTATCCCGCCTTCAGCATAGCATCTGCGGTCCGGCGAAATCAGATTTGACCGCCCGCGATCCCGTGCATGATACGTCTCGACTGGTGCCGCAGAAGTCCTGGTGACCTGGACCTTGCTAACAGCCGCCATACACCATAGTCACGTACTCGCTCCATGACTGCCGAGGCGGCCTGGTCACAGGCCTACGTAGGAGCAATATTACTGTAAAGGTGCACTCCAGCTGAGAACCAGCGGCTCAACGACGTCCGGCAACAAGTTCTGACGGACTACCCCGAAGCTAGCTCATTGGCAGTGCCTGTGTGGGCCGCGTCGCGGGCTGTTCTGCGGGGCATATCGAGTGGAAAATCAGACCTGGGAACAATTCTCATTTTGTACGACTTGTAGCCGGTTTTACACAGCCTATGCTTCCCCATGGGTAACGGATTATCGTCGCTTGTAACCGAGGGTGAGCGAGACAACGATGCACGCAACTTCATAAGTCCTGGTTTGAGTAATCGGCTTTAAAACAAGAAATACTTGATGTTGAACAGCCACTCCTGACAACGGCTCGGAACCAGTTGTACTTCAAGTTCATCCACAGAGGGGAACCTGCAAGTCCGCGACAATGACATATACGAGTGCGAGCGGCCGCGGTTTAATCCAGTCATCAGGATCTGCTTGCATGATCCGAAGTCAAACCGTTGTTGCTACGAGACCCTGACCAGTGTGTGGTTAGTTTCGAAGTTGAGTCACTGTCCATTCAGACGCGGCTTCCTTCAATTCTGGTCCATGTTGTACAGTCGTGAAGTTCGGGCAAATATTGATACAAGAGACATACAACGGAGGAAGATAGCCGGCTTACCTTTCTGCTACAGGTCATGGTGGGCAACCTTCCCACATAAACGTTAACCATTTGAGTTGTGGTGTGTTTTCGAGCGCGCGTGCGTGCAAGGATCGCAGTTGACATGCAGTCATAGTCACCGTGACTATCAGTACTACACCGTGACTAGCATGTATCGGCGACAATTGTTGACGATAGAATGCTAATGAATGAGGTTGTCGTAACAAGGGATTTAATCTAGACGTGCAGGCTGAGAACGGGCGGCCACGGCGCACAAACGACGAGCGGAGACCGAGAAGACCGAGAAGGCGGCCGCGGTGGCTTCGAGACGGGAGCGCCGATCGAGCGGTGCCCGGGCGGTGCACGTGAAACTGACGACGGCAGAGGCGGCTGGCTGCCATTCTGGGCGAACACCACTCTGCGATCCCACCGTCGGGTCTCAGTGCGAGCGTACTCGCCAGTGGCCCTCACCCCCTCCTCCTCGCAATGGCCGACAACACAGACAGCTTTTTCGACGATTATCCTGATGTCGACCAGTCTGGGTGCCGCCTATTAGGCCCTACGGCTTTGGTACGTTCCGTACTCCCGAACCGTGGTACTTGCTCCGAACTCAGTCGATGCGCAGGTCACTCAGGGTCTCATGGGCGTGCTGGTCATTGCTTCCCTTATCTACAAGAGACACAGAGAGAGCCCGAGACGGCCCTGGCGGATCTGGTGCGTCTTCTGGTTCTGCCTGCGACGGTCCAGTTGCTGACCGACTTGTGGCATGCCACAGGCTCTTCGATGTCTCCAAACAAATCATCGGACAATTGGTCATACACGGAGTTAATGTTCTCATTTCAGACACCATTGCGCATCTATCGTCTGGCAATGCGTGCGTGTTCTACTTCCTCAATATTCTTGTCGACACCACCATCGGTACGTTCGGTCTCCCATCCCGTTCGCACAGGTATACCGAGCTTCAAACCCCATAGGCGTCGGCATTATTTACTTCATTCTGCACGTCACGACCTGGCTCCTTAGCGAGAAATGCCACTTCAAAGGATTCGAGTCTGGGCAGTACGGCTCACCACCCTCCTTCAATTACTGGATCCGCCAGGCCACCGTCTACATCTTCTCCCTCCTGTTCATGAAGATGCTCGTCATCGTCCTCTTCGCCGCATGGCCCGGCATCTTCATGCTCGGCGAGTGGCTCCTCACCTTCCTCGGGCCCAGCGATGCCGTCCAGGTCATCTTGTATGTACCGCCCCGCTCGCATCCCATCTCGCCCGCTAATTCGACCTCGCAGCACGATGGGCCTCTTCCCCATCATGATGAACGTCGTCCAATTCTGGCTCATCGACTCCATCGTCAAGTCCTCCCAAGCCGCCGCCGTCGCCCTCCCACGCTCACGCCCCGCTCCTCCACCGACGGTGAGCACGAGCACGAGCCGCTCTTCCGCGCCTCCTCCGACGATGACGACGACGACGGCGCCTTCCTCGCCCGGCACGACATCGAGAACCCGCTGCCGCGCGCGCGCTCTGAGGACGCCGACAGGCCAGGCGTGCCCGATGAGCCGAAATCGCTCGGCTCGGGCACCTCCACCGCCGTCGGCTCGAGCCCGGGCACGCCCAAGCCCAAGCCAATCGACATCAAGCGCGACGTGGACGTGGACGCGCACGCGTACCCCCCAAGCCTCGCCGGCTCGAGCGTGGCTACGAGCTCCTCGGCCGCGTCCTCGCTGCATGGGCGCTCCAGGTCCCCGCGGGCGAAACGAAAACACTCACCCCCGCCTGCGCTCCCGCTCAACCCGGTGTCGCCGCCTGCCCATCGGCAGCCGACACGCCGGCATGCCCACAGCAATAGCATTACACCTAAAGCTCAAGTATCTCGGTATGATGACGACGAAAAGACTGGGCGGAATGGGGTAACGAGGGCGACGACTGGGCGGAACGGGTGGGCGAGGAGGAATGGACTGGGAGACGTATGGGAGCGCGGAAGGCAGAGCTAGACAACGTATGGGCCCGACAACATAGTGCGGCACCTTCTGTCTCGTAGCGGTATGGATCTACCTGAGTTTTACTTGCTGTCTGCGTACTTTGCTGTCGTCTATTGTGTATCATACCCTGCCACCATTAGTTCGTCTCACGCGGAATGATAGAGGATCACCACTGCTATGCTGTGTGCAAGGGGAACTGCATGGTATTGAGAGCGGAACAAAGCAACAATGTACATGCAAGGAGTCGTTCACATTCAGATCTGCCGCAAACAACCGGAAACATTCACCATTCTAGCCCAGGATGAACATACCCAACATAAACTTACGTACGTATGACTACATGAACAGTGAGGGAGGGACTAGTGTACAGCATGCTGAGCACTAATAACCAGTCAACAAGGACAGACTAAGTGGCTTCACCGCCGCGAGTGCATGGAGGGGGTAGAGAGCGGTAGTCGTCTGGCGGCGAACCATGGCCGACATGCCCAAACTCACCAGCCCTATCAGGATGAACCTCTGTATATACCAACTTACGAACGTTCTGGTGAGGCGCATGGGGGGATGTGTGGGGCGGAGCATGAGGAGATGCGTGAGGTGGGTGAGGCGGGTGAGAACGCGGAGGCCGATCGTCGACTACTACTCGACCGCTTCCACCTGCAGGCAATGCATTCGGTGCGATGGGACGGCTTGTGTAAGACGGTGGCGGACGGGATTGAGGAGGCGTACGAATATCGTTGGGCCCAGGCGACAGCATCATCGCGAGAGAAGGAGAGAGGCCTTGGTTCGAGCGGGGTGTGGAAGTCGAGGCAGGTTGGGGCGTGTCAGAGGGCTGCCTACGCTTCGGCGGTCCCGGTGAAAAGCTCCGACCTAGACGTTCATCTGGCGTATGTGGGGGAACCTCGTCTGGATACTTGCGCTTTCGAACAGCTGACGACTGAGGTGGCGTGTTTGCGACGTGCGGACTGGTAGCATGCGGCGAACGTGGGTCTGGATGAGGCCGTGCACCCGGTGGCGGTGCGGTCGCACCAGCATTGCTCCAGATCTGATTCGACCAAGGAGGTGGAGGAGGAACATGCCTGCTACTACTGGGATCAGCAATGCCAATTGGTTTACCGTTCTCATAGGGGTTCGGAGGAGGAATCGGGGCCGACCTATGAGAATGATGAGGCGCATGAGACACTGGTGGATGCGGCGCGCGGGGATGTGGCGCTAGTGACGAGCTGCCGTTGGTGGAAGGCAAACCTCGAGAAAGGAATTCCACAGGCTGTCCTGGAGGAGGTGATCGCCTGCCGCTGAGTTCTCTGGTACACCAGGTGTGAACCTAATAAGCTCGACGAACAGCGTCTGCGTATATGGTGGTGGCAACTTCATGTAGATAATCTCTTTGCTGAAGTTTTGCAGCATCTCCTTCGTGTTCACGTAGACGTCCGCCTCTGGGTTCTCTGCAGACAGCGTGAGTAAACCAAACACGACCAGGAGATTGGCAATACCTACCTGCGTACTTCACGCGGACCTCGGAGTAAGGATATGCTCGGTTCTTGCGGATGCAGCACAAAGGGCACATGAACCTCCGTACCCCACCCGCATTGTCCACGGGGTAGAATACACAGCCAGCGTGGTAAAGCTTTTCGCAGACCTCGCATTGGACAGTGGGGTAGTTGAGCAGGTAGCTCGTCCTCCCTCTGCAGATGCACCGCGTCCCATCGCGCCAATCGGGATCCACGTCCTGACCGAAGACAAACTTCGGCCGCCTACGCTTCTTCATCCGTACGGGCACGGGTTGTCCTGCGAGAATACGATGAAGGCCTGCAAGGTCCAAGCCAAACGACACCTCAGGATTAGGCGAGACAGCGAACTGGATCCTGTATAGCTTTCGCATGTAGTGCCGTACTTGCGGGATGTACTCGGCACGCTGATTCGCAGGCTGCGACGCGAACGACAGGAACTGTCCAATGACGCCTGCCAGTCGATCAACTCGGTGGACGATTACTTCAGTTGCTTCCACTCGTCGGAATAGTTCTTGGTAACTTCAGGCGCGTGAAGAAGGATGGTTGGCAGATAGCAGAAATGCCAGTTCCGTTCCTTGTGGATGGTACCGTTCCAATGGTGGTGATCGCAGAAAGGGCACGATCCACCATTGGCAGCGCAGACGCCGTGGAATCGAGCGAAGCAATGATCACACTGGACAGCGTCGGACACAGTCCCGGCAGCCGGTGGACGAACAGGAGTCGTACAGATACACGTGAAGTACTCATCGTTGGGAGGGAGGTCGTCCTCAGGCCGCGTGGACTCGATCACGTCCTCCATAAGGCCTTGCGCGTGAGTCTCTTGGTGCTGCCGACAGAACCACGGCAGACTCTCTAGCCAACGGAAGTGGGCGGATAGTTGTTTGTCGAGCCGGTCGAAGTTTGCAAGAGTGAACATGGTCAGGTGCTCCTTCGCGTACTTGCGCCACTGTAACATCGTCTGGAAGATATCGCCTTCGTCGGTATGCTGGTACCGGTGCTTCAACACAGCATCGCAGCGCGTCTCGAGGTCCATAGCGAAGTCCACCGTTCGCTTCAGATCCGAGACAGCTGGGATGTTAAATCCTTGTCCGCCCTGGCCACCAGCTTGACAGCATCCTGAACCTTGGGTTCATCGTGCTTGCCTCCGGGCTGAGCCACAACTTCGCCTGCTTCTCGTAATCCTTCGCGCGGGCACGGGCGTCAAGCAAGCGATCCAGCAGATCAGAATTGATGGGGATACCGGAACCAGGGTGCGCGAACTCATCCAACTGCTCGATCGTCCTCTGTGGTTTAGTGAGAACATCCTTCACACGCCTCTCCCACTCGTCGCCGAGACGGAGAAGCCGCTCGATACGCTTCATGAACGGATTGTCGGGCGGCAGGTCGCACTGGCGAGCACGCGCTACCCAACTTCTGACGTCCTCCAGAAGCACTCCGTTGGATTCGTCAAGCTCTTCCTCGAGATCCTTCAACAACTGCTCGCGGAGAACTATCTTCTCGACCTCGAGAAGCTCCTCGACGAGGACGTTGAGCGACAGCCCGTGCAGGAGCAACCGGTCGCACTCTTGCATGTGTGCGTCTCGGTCGCGCGGAGATGGTGTAGCGTTCAGCAAGATGCGAGCCTTCTCCTTTGTCTCCTCCGCTTCCTTGGCAAGATTCCTGAGGAACCCGATCTCCTGACAATCGAACCCTAAGTTCTCGACCTCCTTCAGGACAGCGTACAGGTCTCCCAGGCTGTGATCCGGCCTATCGGGGGCGTCGTCGACCATATTCATGCCGTTCGCACTGTCTGACGACGTGCGCGGGCCGCGGATCTTGCGTGGACGTTTGCGACTGGGCTTGCGGACAAGGAAGGCATTTGCCGCATCCACCCACTCGTTGGCTCGAGCGACACACTTGCGCAGCGACTGCAGCTCGGGCAAGGGATGGTTGATCCGATCGCCCTCTGCAAGAACAGCGCGCAGACTGCGTAGCGGCGGTCTCGCGGTCTCGGTCAAGATCTTGTTCAGCTTCGTCCTCCACGTACTGGGGATGGCAGCGCGCTCCGACACCTTCATCTGATCTCCTGCAACTCCGCATCGTCGAGGCGCTTCCTTAGAATCCTGCTGCTTTGATCGCACTTGCACAGATCTCGATGTGGTCGATGCACACGACCTTGGTCGTGCACGAACACGTGATCTGCGAGAGGTAGCAGAAGACCTTGCACCTGCTGCATTGGCACTGGTCCTCGGCCCGGTCCATGCCTTCAAGCACCTCGCCCATCTGGAGTGATCGGGCCTTGTCCCGGATGCGCATCTCACGGACCATCATCTCCTGTAGGCTGTCGTTGAGCCTGACAACCGCGTCAGTATTTGCTTCCGCTACTAGAACGAGAAAACACGCACCATAGGGCGGTCTGGATGGACTGGTTCTGTTGCGTTATCGTAATCAGAAGCTCGTCGTGCGAGAATACCGGAAGCTTCCGGTGCTCCTGGTACCGCTTCACACAATCGAGTCCGAACGGCAGCCAGTCGGGCAGCGCGAAGTTGACGGCTTCGTTAAAGTTGAACTGAAGGCGGTTATAGTTAGCGACCTGAGCCACGCATGTCGCGCCTGTAGGTGAACTAGAACGCACCCCATGATTGAATCCCGCGTGGTACGCCTTGGGGAAGGTGATCACGAACTCGCCCGCACGCTGGTTGCACGAGTATACGTCGACGCCGGTCTCCTTCAGTCGGCTAGGGTTCATTAAGGTGACCAGCTGGAAGAGGAGATCGGGCTGGACTTCGAAAAGGTCCGGGGCTTCTCTTCTGATGGCCGCCTCGAATTTCTCCGCCTCCTCGCCGGGAATACTGTACCAGGTCTTTGTCTCGCCCCAATGCACTAGATATCCCGCGAATGTGAGAACATCAACCTCGGAAATGAAAATGAGCTTCTTACTGTAGTTGATGCTGTACGTGTAGTGATCCTGCTCCGCCGATAAGGATCAGCTATGACATTCTAAAAGCGTCAAAGTCCGTCGTACCTCGTTGTGCCAGCAAAATGTCGAGAATACCATCCCGACGTACGTCCAGGGCACAGA